GATCCCCGGGGGGGGGGATCCCGGTACCTTTGAAGCAGGTGATGAAGTTCTTGACTTTGGTGTCGTCCAGGAAAAGCTGCGGAAAAGCGGGGAAAAAGCCTCAAAACCCGCCCCCAAGCCCCCGGCAGGTCCGGGATCCGTCCGGGATCCATCCGGGATCCGCCTGGGATCCGTCCTGGGTCTTTTTCTGGAGTCTGACTGGGGTCTGTCCGGGATCTGTCTTGGATCCGTGTGGGTTCTATTTGGGATCCGTTTGGGATCCGACCGGGGTCTGTCCTGGGTCCACGCAGGATCCGTCTGGGATCTGCCTGGGATCCAATTGGGATCCGCCTGGGATTCGTCTGGGATCCGTCCTGGGTCTTTTTTTGGGGTCTGACTGGGGTCCGTCTGGGATCTGTCTTGGATCCGTGTGGGTTCTATTTGGGATCCATCCAGGATCCGACTGGGGTCTGTCCATTTGGGATCTATCCGGGATCTGTCCTGAGCCCCGTCTAGGGTTTTCTGGGGGGGGATCTGCCTGGGTCCTGTCCAGGATCTGTCTGCGGGATCATTGGTCTCAGGTCTGTTTGGGATCCGTCTTGGGTCTGCCTGGGATCTGTCCGGGATCTGTCTTGGGTCCGTGTGGGTTCTGTCTGGGATCCATCTGGGATCTGGCCAGGGTCTGTCCTGGGTCCATGTGGGATCTGTCTGGGATCTGCCCAGGGTCTGTCTGGGATCTGCCCAGGATCCGTCTGGGATCTATGTCTGGGGCCTATGTGGGATCTGCCTGGGATCTGTCTGGGATCCGACTGGGGTCTGTCCTGGGTCCACGTGGGATCTGCCCGGGGTCCGTCTGGGATCTCTCCTCTCTCCTGGGTCTGTCTGGGATCTGTCCGGGATCCACCTGGGGTCCGTGTCTGGGGCCTATGCGGGATCTGCCCGGGATCCATCTGGGATCCGCCTGGGATCTCTCCTGGATCTGCCCGGGATCCGCCCCGGGCCCATTTGGGATCCACTGCCGGGGATCCACC